AAGGAGGGCAGAAGTGAAACTAAACTCTCTTGCAGGACGAACCAGTTTTCAAAGAGCAGAACAGCTAAAGAACAGGAGAAAAAGTGCTCGGGCAGGAAGCACGGCGGGGACAAGCATTCAGTGGGGCATGTTGGAAACTGAACAAGGAGTTTGGACCGACCAGGGCACCAGAGGAGTAGGGAATGAGGTTGGAGGATTAGGAGGTAGTATCCTGAATGACTTTTCTACCTACATGCGACTAGTTTGAACTTTTGACTCTTGAAGGCACAGGGGGCCACTGAGGGTTGAAGCAGGAGGGGCAGAGTTAGATAAGATTTTTAGAAAGCCCGCCCAGCCATGGTCACATGGAGGACACCTGGGGGAATGGAAGCTGTTGGGCAGAGATGCCAGGTAACTGCAATTCTCGTCATGAGAAGAAGCCAGGACTGGTGAAGATGGATAGGCGAACGCCATTTGGAAGATGGTAGCCCATCAGAGTAATCATTCCCTACGTGAATTGAAATGAATTCAGCAGAGAAGGTAGAACAGACAGGTCTTAGCAACTAATTTAATGTGGGGAGAAAGGCAAAAGGGAGAGTAGGTGGTGGTTCTCAGGTTTCTGGTTTGTCTGACCCGGTAGCTGGTGTTAGCTTTGTGGGAGGGCAGTAAAGAAGTGGTATTCTAGTATTTAGTTAATAGTTAATAAGAATGTGTGACTTACTGGTAGAGATTGAAAGAGACACATAGGGGCTTCCCTGGTGGTGCAGTCGTTGAGAATCCATCTGTCAGTGCAGGGGACACGGGTTCGAGTCCCGGTCCGGGAAGATCCCACATGCCACAGAGCAACTGAGCCCGTGCACCACAACTACTGAGCCTGAGCTCTGGAGCCCGTGAGCCACAACTACTGAGCCCACGAGCCACAACTACTGAAGCCTGTGTGCCTAGAGCCCGTGCTCTGCAACAAGAGAAGCCACCACAATGAGAGGCCCTCGCACCACAACGAAGAATAGCCCCCGCTCCCGCGACTAGAGAAAGCCCTCGCGCAGCAACAAAGGTGCAGCAACAAAGACCCAACACAGCCAACAATAAACAAATAAATAAATTTTTTAAAAAAGAGAAAGAAAGAGACACATAGGGCGTGGGACTTAGAAATGTTGGGCTGGGAAGTCATCCACATTTGCATGGTGATGGCTGAAGTCAGGAACCTGGATGAGGTCATCCAGGGGGAATATTCTGAGGATCAGGGTAGAACCTAACTGGGAGGGAGGTATCACCACTTAAGGGGGAGGTGAAAAACAAGCAGGAAAGAATAAGAAGAGACAACCAAAAGGTAAGAGGAAAACCAAGGAGTGTCATGGAAAAAAGGTCAAAGCAAAGAGAGGGTCGAGTGTCACCAAGCAATCAAGTCAGATAAGTGCTGATAAAGAGTGTTCCATTGTGACCTGAAGTGGCCTTTGGACTGCCTCCTCTGTACATGGTTCATTCATTTCTTCAAATATTTACTGAGGTCCCCTGGGTGCCAGGTGCTGTACAGATAAACCTCAAACCTCAAGGACAGCCTCATCCTACTTTGAAAGCATAGCAAAAGCATTTCCATTTCCTTACAAATGTTACACTCTTTTAGACGTGAACAGGAATTGAATTTGTATGCAAAGCACTGGGTGATATCGCACTTGGGCAAACAGCAAGGAAAGGAGGTGGGGTGAGATGCTTTAGGAAGATGGGGCTTAGAGAATGACAGGAGTCTGAGATGAAAGTGGGGACGGGAAGAAAAGGTGTGGCAGCATCACCTCCTCATCCTCTGACCTGTTATTTTGTTTAACCCTTGACTTAGCTCCAACGTCTGCCTGGGGAGCAAAGTCCTATGCTGAAGAGAAGCAGTTATTTCCCAATATACTCTTTTGGTATTGAAAGAAGAAAATTAAGATAAGAAAGAGTTAAACTCACCAAATTAAACTAAAATGTTTCTGGGCTCTGACTACACTTTTGAAACCTCCTCTTACAGTTATTTAGCATAGTTACTTTCTTTTTTTTTTTTTTTTAAAAAAAAAAATTTTTTTGGGTTTTTTTTTTTTTTTTCTCATAAAAGTTTTTTTTTTTTAAGCTTTCTGACTCTGCGCTTGTACCTCTCACACTTTGACCAGGATTTTCTGCTCCTCATTAAGGAAAGTGAGCTTGATCCTGTCACAGACCCATTTAGCACACATGGACCCACCACAGGCCTTGCTGACATGTTTTTTCACTTTAGGTAACCTCCTAAGAACTTTAGATCTCACAGCATGAACTTCTCAGCACATATCACATACAGATTTTGGTGCTTTTCCCGACCTTCTTGGTATAAAAGCAAGTAGTTCTACTACCAGGGGTTCAAGACAGCCTATTTTTGTTAGAGGCTGTATTGCATGATAGCCTACGATGGTGTGTCAAACTCAGGACCATGTTGAACGCCTCTAAACAGCGTTCCTGGAAGGGCTTCCATTTCTTAGAATTACTCTGAAAACTTAACGTCTAAACCTCCAAAACAAGTTATTAGGAAGCCTGTTTTTATACTTTTAGAAACTTAGAACTGATACTATCCATACTTCAGCAGAGTAAAGCCTATGATTCTTTCAGTTATCCATTCACTTGTTCAATAAATGCTGACTGAGTTCTTGCTAAAGATTCTAAGTGTCAAAAAAGATGAAGGCCTTGAGCTCACGAAGCCTACATTCCAGAGGCAGACAGAAACTAACTGGAGGCTCTATAGCGTATCTACAGTCATAGTGATATGTTTTCAGGTGCAAAATTAAAGCACAGCAAGGGGGCCAGGAGTGACAGGACTCCATCAGCTATGGTGGGCAGGGAAGGCCTCTTATATATTGAATAGAAATATATGAAAATAAAATATTTGAAACAATTAGAATATATTTGACTGCACAATTGGTATCTGCTTCTGATCCCCACAATATATTCCTTCCTTCAGGACTCCATCGCTGAGATCTACCAATTGCAAAACCCCATTTTAAGCACAGTGGGGAATAGAAGCATTACACCCCTTCCTGCCCTCAGAGTCTACTAACTAGTAGTGACTATCACACATGAAAGAACACGGTCAGTCATAATCAAGTCATAAAAAGAATCGTGCTAAGAATTGTGCTGATGGAGGGATTACAAGGCTGTAAGAGAACATGGCTTCTGGTAGGACTTAACACCACGGCAGGATAGGGAACAGGGGAGACTAGGAATGTGACATTCCAGAATGAAGGAACAGTGTGAAACATGGGCTAGAGTTTATCCAGAGAGTAAGGATTATTCCAGTTTGGTAAATGTGTTCGACATTTGAAAGTGATGATGAAACCAAGCAGGAACCCATGGGGCCCTCCTGGGGCACAAAAGCCTTTCCAGGTCCCCCATTTCTTATTTGCAGGATAAAGGCTTCAGCCTCCTAGACCTTCCCTAAGTTCCAAAGGGCAGAGCAAATGGCTACCAGTCAGGGAAATACGGAATGCAGAAAAAAGGAGGAACAATCAAGAAACTACAGTGCAACAATTAAAGCAGGATACTGGTTCTACCTCAAGGGATATACATAACAATATCTTTGAGTCCTTCTGCAGGAACTAAGGCCTCGCCTCAGGTGGAAGACAGTAACTTCAGGCCGAGCATAAGACTCCTAGACCACCCCCATCACCTCGCCATCAGCCAATTATTAGAAAGTCACATACCCTGCATCCCTCCCCTCAAATTTTGCCTGTGAAAACTCTTCTCCCCAAAACATCAGGGAATTCAGATTTTTTGAGCACAAGCCATCTGTTCTCCTTGCTTGGCCCTGCAATAAACCTTTCTCTTTTCCAAACTGCAATGTTTGGGTTCGTTTGGCCTTACCGTGCATCGGGCACACAAACCTGCGTTCGGTAACAGTGATGTGGGAAATAAGGCAGTAGAGGAAGTTTGGGGACAGGACTGAGCAGGGCCTTGAATTCCAGGCTAAACATGTAAGGTCTTCCCTTTTTTTTTTTGTACTCATGAATAGACCAGGAAAATAGAACCCAGGACACTCCTTTATTATGTGGATATACAACTGGGTGAAAATGAGATAATCACCTTAAGGCTATCAAGGAAGTCACTGAAAATAATCTGAGGATGCCAAACAAATGAGATGTTTGAACTTGACCAGAGTCCAGGTTACTTAGGACTCTTCAGGCACTGTGCTAAAAACTTGACGCAGATCTCTCCTTCAATATTCACACCAGATACACTAGGTGTGTGCACCACCCCTACCGACAGGTGAGGAAGCTCAGCCAGGTGAAATAACTAACTTGCCCAAGGTTGCATGACTAGTAAGCAGTGGTGTTCTGGGATCAAATTGGCCTCACTCCAAAGCCAAGGTCAACATCACGGAGGCCAAAAATTGTAACCGAATTAGCAAATCTGAGGAGTCGGAAACACATGTAATGAACCTCAGTATAAGCACAGTTTAGGGTAGCAGGGTAGTAGCCCAGGGAATAAGGGAAGGCACCAAAAATTAAAAAGTTAGAAATGGATAAACTCAGCAGCAGATAAAGGCTTTATTGGAAAAGAAGCCAACAAGTGGAGGGACCGCAACAGAGCACTCTCTTCTCTTCCTGCCCCTTCCCTTCCTCTCCCTCCTCTTCTTGTAATTCACCTCAGTCAAGGTCACCTGGAAGAACCCTAAAGTAATCCTCCTATCCTCAGCACAGGTCTGATCCCCACCAGGCACCAGAGACAATTTAATCTTTCGAGAAGATCCTCAAAGATGAGCAAAAGGTCAACATATTAGATCTGTTTAGAATTATCAAAGGAACCAGGAAGAGAGAAAGCTGACCATAATTTGGAGTGAGGTTTTCAAAGAATTAACCTCTACCTTCATTAATACCACAAGAAGAACTTCAATTAGATGTAACTCAGTAAGCCTAGTTGAAAAATGAATTTTTCTTCTAAACTTGGATATGGGGCTAGGATATTAATCAATATATATTGATTAATGATAATACGTATGATTAAATCTGGGTTCATATGAAAGATATTTATAGTGGGTTTTTTTTTGTTTAAAGTATAATTTCCACGTTATTGTCTTTCCAGGGAATAGTATTTTAGTCTTTAAGGACTTAGCTCCTTACATGGGCTTTGGTGGAGGTCGTGGGGCAGCACCGGCAGGTCTAAATCGGGGTGGAGGTGTTCGGTCCTTCAGGGCTTCCCGAGAACGATTCCTGGCTACCTTGCTGTGAATGGCACAACTGACGCAATAATGCAGTTTCACATACAGCTTGGGAAGCACATAGGCGTCGAAAACACTCGCTTCGGAAATGTGCCTGACGGCTGCGGCCTCTAGGATGTTACGAATGACGAACTTCTTAATGGTCTTATCCTTGGGCACGCATCGGGCACAGTTAGTACAGTGAACAGGCTGCACATGGCCGCGGCCCTTTTTGACACGACCATTATTCCTTCTTTTCTTGGTCATCTTGGAAGCGAGGCGAAAGAGGCTATAGTGGGTTTCTTAAAGCAGTGATCACGGAGACTGCACGTTCACAGACTGAGATGTACCCGTTCAGAAAATTTAGCTCAACATATTGTCTCATAGGATTCTAGATATTTGAAATTCTAAGTGTTATTTTGGTGTCAATTTTCTATATAAGTATCTCAAATTCCCATTTCACTTTTTGACAGGTCATGAATGCCCTCAGATGTTTCCTCTGGAGCTAGGAATCCTGCATTAGGAATAGACACATAGCTATAATACCTTGAGTTTCATATTTAAGTTCAATCGATTGTAAAGTTAAAGGCTGTGCTGATAGTTTTGGGTAGAATTCCCACAACAATAGGTTTGTCTTTAATAAAATGTTTGCTTTATACTGAGTGCCTTATTGAAGACATTAGGAATGTGCAAGTGAAATAGGAGGAAGGAAGCCGGGCACAACCTTTAAAAGAACGACATAGCCACTGAGGATATGACATAAACTGGTTAGAACCGATTATGTCCAAGATTCAACTTCCAGTAGACCTTGAGCCTCACTATGCACTAATACATTAGCATGCTAAATGACACACCCACAGGCGCCATGGCAGCTCCAAGTTTGACCATAAAAGGTCAAAAAGTGGGCAGTGGCCCAATTCCTGGAAATCTCCACCTCTTCCCTAAAATTGTTGGAATAATCCTCCCATTCATTAGCCTATCAAATTAGCCAGCCCATATTTCGAGGCCTCTCACCTTCTGAGATGGCCCACACTCTGTCTGTGAAATGTGTTTCTCCCAGGGCCATTCTGGAATGTGTATCTCTCTAAATAAACACTTCTTACCTATCACTTTGTCTCTCACTGAGTTCTTTCCACAAGGAGACATAAAGAACCTAAGCTTCATTAAGTCTTGAGATCAGGTGTGTGATCTCAATGAAAAGACGGTGGGTTCAAGGCCCAATCTGAGTTATGTGGCTTCATAAGTAGTAATAAGGAAAGTTTGTCCTGCCATAAACAAAGCTAGGACTGATTATGTATGCCATTGACTGACAGATACACTCACTTAAATTAAGAGCAATCATTACTTCCTCAAACTGAATGAAAGACTGGAGATGCAGTCTTACCCATCAGTTTGCAGCTTGGCACGCGGGATCTTAGTTCCCTGACCTTGGACACCAGGGAGATCAGGGATCAAACCTGTGACCCTTGCAGTGGAAGCACAGAGTATTAAACACCGGACCACCAGGGAGGTCCTGTGAATATTTCCTTATTTACCCAGAGTAACTAATTCTGCAGGATCTGCCAGCTACCTCTAATTACACCAGCTTCACCCAATAACCACACCGAACTCTACTCTCTGAATAGCATTCTTTTATCCTCTGACTAGCTGACTAAAGGTCAACTGTACTTTTCTGAGTTTCTTATCACCTTTGTGTTTCAGTTTCTCAAATGTTAGTTCATTTGTAAAACTACTGTTTTAGGCTAAATTAACAAAATTAGCAGCTAAATAACGACCACACCCTGCCTACCTATACCCTAATAGAGAGCACAGAGATAAGCTGGGAAGGGATGGTAAAGAAAAGTTGGGAAGAGAGAAGAAACAGAGGTCTGAAAAGAGCACCTGATCAGAGAAACGTCCAGTCTTCCGGGATTGTCATTTAAAGAGCTGTGGAACTCACATAAATACAGAACTACACCCTTTCTTCCTTCTTGGCTGGAAGGCCAAGGGCCCCGCGGTAAAAAGCACACAGGTCAAAGTTTGGCAGGGAAAATAGTACCTTTGGAAATTTTATGGTCTGGCTTTAAATATAGCTCAAGAAATATAATAAAACTAATTTTTTTTTTCCTTAGAAGACTGGAAATCAAGAGAACTTTTGGGTTAATATAATTAAATTTTAGTTCCTTCCAGCACTAGAATTCAGTGATTCCTTGACTCTGAGCCTGGATTAAATCTACCTTGGCTGAGTGTAAACCTGGTTTACTGGCTGGTTGCTTTTACTGATTTTGCACTTTATGGCCACTTCCTCTTAAGAAGTTCACCATTGTGACTAATTTCTTTGGGGGGAAGTTGGAAAGCAGAGGGCCAAGTCAATCCGAAATGGAGCAAACAAACTCACCTTCTACTACTACCTGGTGAGGAGGACACTTCCACTATTGTTACTGAACCAAACTCGGGTCCACTTGCTTGTCTGCAGTAAAAACAATGTACTGGCACTGGGTTGTCGTGAAGGAAAGTGCAGCGTTTACAGTACGGTGCTAGACGAGGAGTCCAGGGAAGCCAGCGCTCGAAAAGCCTGAGCTCCCCGTGGGTTTCAGCAAAGCACTTTTAAAGGCAAGGTGAGGGAGGAGGGTCCCAGGTTAAGCGATCAGCTGCTCTTGCAGTTCTCTGATTGGTTGATGGTGAGGTAACAGGGCGGTGTCACAAGGGTTAACAACATCAATCCTTAGGCGCCAGTAGGTTTAGGGGCTACGTGCTCACGGTCATCAAGTAGTTAATTTCTTTCACTTGGTGGTGGTTTTAGCATCTGTAAAACAACTCAGGAAGCGTGTATCAGATACTATTATCTAGGTACTTCAGAGAGGAACCGAAGCAGAGGGTATCGGGGCGGGATCTGTCCCAGGAAGGCCCCATAGGGTCCTGCTGGGTTATGCTATGAAGCATTAGCATCTTCCAAGGTTTTAGAAGATATTTTGACGTTACTGGAGACCTTCTTATATCCATGTCAGTTAAGCGTATGAGTCTAGTAAGTCTATCTAAATTTAAAAGGCAAAAGCTGAGAGTCACTATTAATAGATTTCTCTTATTTATTAATAGGATCTATTTTTAACCATATAATAATAATAATAATAATAATAGTAATGACACCATAAATTTATTTGGCACTTTGCAATTCACAAAACACTTTAACTAACATGACATAGATTCCTGGGCAACCCACTCTGAGACAATAACAAATTTGTGGAAACAACTGTTGGCAATGGGCTCACAGATGCCTGGAATTCCCAGGCAGCCAGCTGCATGTGTTCCCCATTTCATTAATTTCAAAATAACAAGACCGTACAGATTCATTTATATATTATGGCAGGTTTTAACTGTATGTCATGTATCATCTACTTTGTTCCTATGAGACAAAACGATTGCCTTTTACAGGTAAGAAAATGGAGGCTCTTCAAGGCTCTTAAGAAAAGAAGTTACTAATAAATGACTAAAAAATAGCAGACCTATGATTAGAGCAAGTCCAGTTCTTTCCTCCACCCCACAGCTTCTGCCAAGTCATTATAGAAATGCACGGAGATTCTTATCCCTTGTTGCTTGGGTTTCTCAAGAGTGGTAACCCATTTTAGTAACACAGCATGCTCTGTAATTTACTACTGACAAAGCCACTACCAGAAATTTACTAGTAACTTTCAACTTGGTAAAACATGACTAATAAAAAGCAATCAAAGAGCAGCCTTCTCTTTCTTTACAGCCACATGGTTGCAAAGCAAGCCAGTTACATGTTTGTGGATTTGTGTCAATGATATATACAGCTCATTAATTCCACAAATACTTATTGGACACCTATTATCTACCAGCCCCTATGTGAAGTGCTGGGTGCACAGTACTGAAAAAGATGGGCACCACCACGAGCCTCACAGAGCTTGTTCTGTTGAATTGGGGAGAGACGGATGCTAATCCACAGATAAACAAAAATAACCCACTATGGTGTCAATTGAAAGAAAACAACAGAATACTGGGAGAGACAATGTTTCGGGGTGGGAAGCTCTTCTAGGTGGAGAATGAGAATATCTCAGTAGAGCTGGCACATCAATTGGGATCATAAAAATGAGGAAGAGCTGGCCTTTGAGAAGAATGGAAGGACGTTCCAGGGAGAAGGAAATGCATACTGGAAAGTCTGAAAACTGGAATTTAGTTCGTGTAAGCGGCTGAGAAATGGTCATTGCGTGGGTAGGACCAGGCAGGGTGGGGGAAGGTTTGAGATAAGGAGGGAGTCCTACGCTACTCTTCAGTCCTTTACACTGCCTCGAGGCACCTGATCCCAACCATCTGTCTTCAATCAACTACACTTAAACAGCTGCCTTGTAATCCAGAAACTATCACAGATTAAACAGATAAAGCTAAAAACAGAATAATATCAATAGATTACCTAAACCAAGGATGCAAGTTTCCATCTTTTTAATGAAGGTTTGCATCAAGTTAAATCATTAATTATAGATACTGATATAGATACGTGGATGGATAGGTACAGATACATATCTCTAGTATTCTAGAAAAAAGCATTATCTCCCAAGGTGAGAGGGTAGGGAAACCTTAACTTGTAAATTTTAAGGGAAAAAAATGAGATTATGGGACTTCTTTTTGTGTGGGTTTTTTTTTGTTTTGTTTTGTTTTTGCGTTACGGGGGCCTCTCACTGTTGTGGCCTCTCCCGTTGTGGAGCACAGGCTCCGGACGAGCAGGCTCAGCGGCCATGGCTCACGGGCCCAGCTGCTCCGTGGCATGTGGGCTCTTCCCGGACCGGGGCACGAACCCGTGTCCCCTGCATCGGCAGGCGGATGCTCAACCACTGCGCCACCAGGGAAGCCCTGTGTGTATTTTTTAAATTAAGAAAATAAACAACAAAATGAAAAAACCTTTTTGTTTTTATGAAAGCCTGGTTTTAAGAATTTCAGCTCGTTAAATTTAGGAAGCTTGAAAAAAAAAAATCAAATTCAAGACTGTTCTCTGGACCTGAGCCTAATGCATTTTCATTTGAATGAGAACTGAATATACATTTTTATCCCCTTGGGGCTCTGGGCTGTCAATATTTTACTTTTCAGAGATGGGCAGACACCTATAGATAAGCATGGTGACCTTGGGTAACATTTTCCCTTATTTAAATCTGTCTTCTTTCCAAAGTATTTTTTGCCTGTTAAACATGATTTTTTTTGGGGGGGGGGGCGGGACGGTGCGGCTCACAGATACGTTTTTAGAAAACAACGATGCACATAAAATTTTTCCTTTTGCACTGATGCATCTGGACCTTTTCTCGTATATGTCTACTCTTTTGTCTCTTTTTGGAAGTGATTTGGAAGCAAAGAAGAGAATGGCTCTATAGTTGACCCAACTCTTTCTATTAACGGTGTATTTTAACTTAGGATTTTTAAGTGGAAATGAACTTTGTCTAAGATTTTTTTCAGCTTCTTTAACTCTGGCCTCCTTCCCTAGTCACCTTCGGCTAAACCTGTCATTCGGCAGGTAACAATCTCTAACATAACTGCAACAATCTCTACTGTGGCTGAATTTTCATAGCAAAGAATCTGAGAAGTTACCAATTGCTTACAAACTGTTTTGTCATACCTAAGTGTTTGATAGGGCTTTGTCCTGTCCCTTCCCTTCTGTGACAGAATACCTTACATAACCTGCCCCGTCATGTTAAGCACCCTTGGGGTTTGGTTCACGATGGTTCCTACACCCCCATTTGCTTGGTATCCCTATACTCCTAGCATGTGGTAATTATCTGTGACTCCCCTAGTCCCTGGCGGCCATAG